CCCATAGACCGACCGAGCGATCAACGGACAGATCGCCCAACCGAGAGACACACCAACAGACCAACGGATAGATATACGGATGGATAGATAGGAAGATAAATAGATAGATGATAGATCATTTTCTTCTGCAGGGGTTTTACGGAAACTTTTACCATGTATAATTCTTTTTTCTGCATGGTATTTTCAATTATTTTGAATTTAAGTTGCTATTGTTGTTGTTAAAAAAAAAAAAAAAAAAAAGGTTAACAGACTCACCGCAGATAATTCCAATGGACAAAAACACTTCAGAACATTGAGAAATGGTCACTGCACACAATTTCCACAGTCAAAATCAAAAACAAAAAAAAACACAAAAAAGTGAACTTGGCCAAAAAAACATGCTGTCAGGGCCGTCAGGCATTGTCAGCAATGAAAACAGTTTACCTCATTAACCACTGGTACAATATTGAACCTGCCTCTTCTCCATGTCTTGTTTCACCTTTCCGAGCTATGGTGGAGCAGGTTGCCTTGTGAGGAGTACTGTCTGGTAAACCCCGTTTTGAACACAGGGTTTCACATCCATCTAGGGTTGTTGCGTTTGGAATCAAACTCAGGTCTGTATTTCAATAGCTCATAGGGTGTAGCAACTAAGGTAGACAATATCATGGTAGACAGCATGGAGATTTGTCCAAGAGCTGTTCAAGATTTCACACGCGCTTACTCTGGCTTCTTACCACCCAGTAGGGCCATCACATACTTTCAACTGCTCACTTGCTTAGCGAGTGTTCGTCGTTCGGCCGATAAATGTCCCTAGTACTGTCGTTGTAGTCAAACTTTGCTGGTGAAGGGTTTGCAGCATTTGTTTCAGTCACTTTCTCATTTCGCAATCGTCAATTCAACGGCGCGATTGTCAATTCAACAGCCACCCCTGAAGGCCCCTGTGCAAGGCCACCTCTATCCTGGTGGTGGTAAGAAACCACTGGGATTGAGGCTTTGACCGTCGGGCTCCTCTATCTGTTGGGGGAGAGCGTCAAAGGGTGGGGTTCCCAGTCCCTTCAATACATCATGTCATCCCGGGGTTTGTTGGGACTCTGGCCATATGAGTTTGTAGCCTGTGCCCTGGAGTACTATCTTTCCCATGGAGCTGCATAGATCACCCTACCAGACCTGCCTTCTTCTTCGGCTCCTTGCTATTGACCCAGTCCCCACCTGGAAACTGCTAGCTCTGTCCTCTTCTCCTGTTTCCCTCTTATAGTTTCTCCAAGGTCAATTCCACCTGTCTCATTGTGGATCCAGAGCGCCAAGCACAGATGTGGATGGATGTAGCTGCAATGCGGATGCAATGTATATGGATGCAGTGTGTATGCTGTGTATATAATGTGTATGCAATGTGTTGATGCGGTGCAGGCATTCTCTATGCGCTTTGCATCATTGTGGAAGACCACTCTTGTTTGTGTCAATCTGTGTCTCCACTGTAGTAATGAACAGTCGTAGTGATGATTCCTCTTCGTCGTCCCACCGTCCCCCACGGGCAGAGGCCCTTTCCGCTGTTCCTACAGTCCTACTCGCTCCCCTACTCAATTATAATGTGTCACATAGGGAGGGATCCTTGCTTGGCTGGCGAACTTCCAGGAGGGTCAGGACAGGGGTCGGGCAATGGCAGGCAACATCGAACAACGTATTGCCTTCGCCTTAGGCGCCGGGCCCTTCAACCACCAGTACCTTGCCCATAGATCAGCTGCTGCGAAAAAAGAGCCCCAAAACATTTCCACTCAGGTGCATTTGGACTGGTCATCTGGACAGGAGCCACCAGGCCCATTAGGCCCAGCACGTACAGCAGTTGAATAATGCCAAACATTTTTGGATGAAGTAATCTCAGTTGATTAGGCACGCAAGTGGCGCTCACTTCCACTCAGGACTCAGGAGGTTGTGGACTCAAGCCCCACGACCACCTGCAGCCGCTGCAGCGCACTTAGTGCCAATGAACTGTGATAGTCCTCTCAGACTGGATACCCCTGGTCGGTATTACGGGTCTATGGCCAGCACAGGTGTGAGTGTGACTGCAAGTGCGCTATGTGTGGTGTGTGGCACTGTGTGGGAGAGTGTTGGCCTTAGCCTCTGCTGCTACTCGATGAGGGGTGGGGGACAATGAGAAAGGGAGGCGCAACTACTGGCAAAATGCTCTGTCTTTGCGTTAGCTGACCCCCACCGGCCCCACACCATCTCTGACTACTGCTGTTGGTACGGGAGGAGAACATGATTTACCTCGTTTGTGAGGCCCTCTGCTTACGGGGGTTTCCTCGATGTAGTCTTAAGAGTAGTGGTAGAAAGGCAGTGAAAGGCAAAAAGAATTTGAAAGGAGAAAAAAAAAAAAAAAAAAAAAAAACCTTCGATTTTGTTCAGCCCCAAACAAGCAAGAAGTGTGCTGGCCCCTGAAATAACCCTCCTCTATGTTCACCCCCCTGAAATAACCCTTGCTTTTCTTTCCCCCAAACGAGCAAGAAGTGTGCAAAGCCCTGAAATAACCCTTCCCATCATTTTTGCACCTGAGTTCGGCCAGTAAAACCAGCAAGGCCCGCTGTGCACATTCTGCAGAACGAGTGTTTTTCAGGGCGTGCCAGGGTGAAAAAATGTGAAGGCCATAGTAAGGACCTCCCACACTTCATACCCCATTTGAAGGCCAACAACCACAAAGGTCTTGCCGCGAGGCGGCGAGGGGGATTTTAACTCTTCCCACAGTTCCTTCCCAATTTGGCGGCCAACAACCACAAGCGTCTTACTGCGGGGTGCATTATAACTATCCCCTAATGCCGGCAGCACCCTGCCCCCACTGCCCCTGGCCAGTGCCCTTGACTTACGTTCTCCCCCTTCACTTCTGCAATGACAGGACTTCGCGAGGCCAAAGCACACAGCAGCGGCTGAGCATCCTAAGGCCCTAAGTTCATTGCCTGAAGCAAGTACCCGCTTGTTGACTCAGTCTAGGATTCGGGGGCTATCTACTACATGTTTTATCCCCAGTTCATGCAGGCAAACACGCCTCCAGTCAGGCTGAGCCAGCCTTGTCTACTACTTCAATGCTGTATTGAGCAGTTCCCCTACCCTGTTGAACAATCAACCCTTCGCTTTATTACTCAAAATCCACTTCACCCCAGCCGTCTGCTCTTTTACTGCTGTATTGCTGCTCTTTTACTGCTTATCGTGAGTTCGCTTCGCCCCAGTGGTTCCGCTGCAGTCACTGCCAGGCCAGGATTTCAAAGACAGCTGGGTGTGGACTTACACACGGGAGAAAGTGAGAGACGGGGGGAGGGGGCTCTTCGAGGAGGGCGGGGAGGAGGTAAGTGACATTGTGTGGGGTAGTGGGGGCAAAGGGGGCGAAACCAGCCGTGAAGGGATACGACGGAAGGAGGTGGCGGGGGGGAATAGGGCGCCTCCTCCCCCCACCCCTCTCCTGCCTCCAATCCCCGATGGACCACCCCGCCCCAA